TGGGGGTAAGCAGATAAACATAAAATTTTCATTTTTGGGTGAACTGTCCCTTTAAGAGTCCCAGCCTCAGAGAAGACTAAAGAGACAGGCCCGAAAAACAGCGTGTTTCTGCTTCCACTCCAAAATAGGCATTTTCAAAATGATCTGTGGAGTATTTTGAGCTGAAATTTCACAGACACATTATGGGGACACCAGAGACTTATATTACATATTGTAAAAAGGGGCATAATATGTCTCCTTTAAGTTGACAATGACAACCTGGATCATGTTTAGACAAACTGAAAAATCACCAAAAATAAAATGTCTCAAAGCTAATAACTTTCTGTAAAAACTCATCTTGTTCTTACAACCTCAAGAGCCCTGTTGCTTTATTCTTGGCCAATACTACAACTTCGAAAATCTGAAATATTCGCACACACCCATCACTAGCAAATAAATAAAACTAGGGCCTGACTCTCTATAATCACTTGTCAGTTCATTTAATGGCAAATTCGGATGTAAACGGTCTGCTCTGGGACCTGTCGGAGTTTACGGAGTCATCTACCTTTCCAATCAGCTTATTTAGGAACTAGTGCATCTATTAAAAAGCAAACGTGCAGTCATGATTTGACAAAAAGGAGGCCACCTCAATCAGCTCCCTCTGCAAAAGACTCCCAGTGTTGGGCCCAGGAGAGGGAGAAGTTTTTTTTTTTTTATATATACACATGCATATTTGTTTATTTACATATACATAAGAAATATACACAGTGTACACGCATATACATTATGTAAACAAGAACTTTTATTTTGGATGCGATTAATCGCTTGATAGCACTAATTAATATTTGTATAATCATCATAGTTACTGTTATTGACAAGCTAATTCAATCACAACAATTACAATGTTTTCAAACAAAGATCTGCAACAAGATTTAGCAACTTATCAGCAGATCTGATAACTGAAGTAGAAAAGTGTGAATATCTGCAATAATACTGGGCGAACCGATTATCGGACTATTTAAAATGATAATGTACAAGAGCTGAAGGTCCGAAGCAGTTGCATAAGTAACAAGATGCAAGAGTTAAGAATTAAATTTCATTGGGCAGAATGAAAGTGAGAGTAAATTATGCTGCAAAGCACAATTAATAATTCACACAGCACAGGTGTCTGCCTTTGATAAGGTCACGGAGAGGGAATCACACAAAGCTAATCTAACTATATGTTGCAAGCTGTGGCTATTTTTAGAAGGCAAATTGAAGTACCTTTCACCCAAGTGCTGCCATGTCAACAAAATACAGCCTTTGGCTGGACTCTGGTGTCCACAGATGTGTCCATTAAAGCCATACGGTGCTGATGTCCTCAGCATCTGCTCTCAATGCTCTCTCATGATTGGCGGAATTACGTAACATTTTTTCTCCAGACGCCGAGAAGCTCTAACTTTCATTTCACGCCACCGCCCTAATTTTTCTCTACAAAAACAATTCACGCAGCATATTTCTTCTAAAAAACGTCGGAACACCGAAACCAGCAATAATTATTATTTCAATAGAATTGCTGCAAGGTACAGGTAGCGTCGAGTGCTGCGTCCATGATGCTTCATTTTGAATACAGCACTAATTACTAAACTTCCCCAAATGCATAACGTACCTGTTTTAAATGCATTATTTTTCTCACGAGCTACATGGTCAACACTTCGGATGCATGCATAGTAAATAAATGCGCATTGCTCACCCTCTTTTGATGCTTTTACTCTGGAACACTGTTTAACGCAGGCTTTTTTGAGCCGCTGTGTTCACGCTTGACTTCACTAACCACTCTTTCAGTCGTAACTCTACCCATGCGGCTGCGCTCGTAACTCATACCCAACTTCGCGTCACTAAACCCGTGGTGACCCGCCCACCGCACTGCACCGGCTCTCTGATTGGTTCACGCAGAGCCTCTCCCAGCGTATTACGAGCATTTTCCACTAGCTTCTCACTTCCCGCATTTTATTTCATCCCATAATGCACCAGGGCCCGCCTGGACTCAGAATCCCACATCTTTGGACCAAAGGTATCGATTCCTGTGAGGCATTAATACAATTGTTTACCACACTATATGACAGGTCAAGTTTATATGTAACTTATTGTTTACTAAAAATTATGATAACTACCTTAAATATTGTGTAGTTGGGCCCAGGAGAGGGAGAAGGTTGATGAAATCCATTCAGTGAGAAGGACTTATGAGAAAGCACAGAAATCACATCTTTATCCAGCTCGAGTTCCTGACATGAAACTAAACCAAGGCCAACTGCATATGCAACAGAGAGGTCATCTACATCAGAGACATTTCAAATCATTTGCATTCAGTAAACCGACATTTAGAATTAGAGATTGACCGATATTGTTTGTATGACTCATAACTTAAGGTTATTCTGAAGTTGAAGTGTGTTATCTTCGCCTATCCTCGCTTAGTATGCAAACTAAAACCACTTGTAGTTTAATTTCCCTGAACAGTTTAACTATCAAAACATCCCAGCACAGCAAAATCGGCTCAACCAATTGCATAAGCTTGGGGTGGGACGATTTGTTTGACTGGCCAATAGCACACAGTTGAAAAAATTGACTAAGTATCAAGTAACCAATATGCACAATTTCATTTGTTTGATTTCTATAAATAAATAAACAATAATAAATATTTAATTAATAATTATATGTACAATAACAATTATCATAGCAGTTAAATTTGAAGCTGAAATGTGCGTTTTTAAATTTTCTCCTGCCCCTGCTTAGCATGCAAATAAAATCAAAAGCCATTTGTAGGTTAATTTCCATGAAAAGTTTAAACAATGTGGCACTATATAAAAACATCCCAACAGAACCAAATTTGGCTCAACCATTCACATAAATTTAGGGCGGACTATTTATTTGACTGGCCAATGGCACATGGGGGTGTGTCTGAATTTTATATATTTTTTTATTCTACAAAATAATGGGGCAAAAAACTATTTATATATTAATATCAGCGCGGTCAAGTGATTAATCACATCCAAAAAAAAGTTTTTGTTTACATAAGTGTGTGTACTGTATATTTATTATGTATATAAACCTTAAATATTGTGTAGACTATATAGTAAATACCTTAAATATTTAATGCCCCCCCCCCCATCCAGGTCCCTTACCAGTCCCTATTAAATGTAGTCTGATCGTCTTCACTAATTATTAAAGTTGATTATTATTTTGTGTTTGTAATGAGGACTAGGATTATATTTACAGTAGGCTACCATTCAAATGTTTGGGGTTATTACGATTTTAAGAAAGTAAATACTTTAATGAATTATGAATTACAATGAAAGACAGTACATTGCTTTTTTTTTTTTACTGTAAATTATTTGACAATAAGTGAATGAACATTAATTTACAGGGAGATTTTTACAGAAGATATTTCAGTTTGTTCTTCCTTTCCTGGAACTCTTTAACACCCTTAACTGCTGTGAACTGCTCTAAATTTTGGGTGGATGTTTTCAATTAGCTCTCAGTGAAAAATGATATTACCTTTTTTTATAAGAATATATTGAATTCCGTGTTTTCTGACTAAACATGGTAATTTTGGTGGGTCAATATCACATTTTCACATGACATGTAAATGGAAGAAATGTAAATCCTCCTTTACTATATTTCTTAGTTTTTGTGAGAATATTTCAAAGTATGGTTTCAAATACTTGCGATGGGAAACGTATGCTCCTCATCAAAATAGTTACTATTTCAGTGCTGTCCTGTTTTATATTTGTTTTAGTCATGAGTCCATAAATTTCAAATCTTGCTTTTATTTTTTGTGTCAGTGTTGTGTGATTTATGATATTATGTTCCCTGTCTTGCATTGTGCAATACAAAAAATTCTAATGACAGCAAAGACAATAATAATGTTAATAAAGATTTCTACTTTAAATAATTTCAAATAATTCTCTTTTCTGTTTTTCATTTCATATTTATATTTCAATCTTTCTGTTCATTGAAAAATGAAAACACCTCCACAATTACTGAGTGGCATAACCATTTTCAGCTATATATAACCGCTATAATATTAAATGTTTCTTGAGCTGCAATCAGCATGATTTCTGAAGGATCATGTAGACACATGAAAGCTGGAGTGATGCAGCGCATGACAAGAAAAATAAAATTTAAATATATTCAAATAGAAAGCAGTTCTTTCAAATGGTAGATTTACTGTTTTTACTGTATTTTTGATCAAATAAATGCAGCCAGATTTCTTTCAAACCCTTTGACCCTTACTGACCTCTTTTTGAATGGTGTATATTATATATTTTATTTATAATATATATTTTCAAAGCATGTATTGAGCCCATATATACATTTAAAAACATTTCATTAAATGCGATACGACATTAATGACATTTGATTTGACTGGACTTATCATTAGTTTCCTAAAGAGGAAAAAAGTGAATATAAATTATATTTTTGAGTGTTAAACTCTTTAGAAATTCGGCATTCAAAACAACTGCAGCCAGTCAGCAAATGAAGCAAAGAAAACAATATTTTAATTGAACATTCAATTTTTATTTAAAGAAGGGTGAAAGACAGAAAAATCAATACACTACAATCTAGAAATATAAAGTAGCCAATTATGTGGAGAAAGAAACACCACTGCCAACACAGCAAATGCCAACAAATGTTATTTGAAAGGTAATTTTTGAAACCCTAAATAAACTACAACATCCCCCTGAAAATTTGCCTATTATCCCACCCTCCCACGAATTCGCCCCTATTTACCACGCTCCTCATGCTGATTCCATCCAAAGCACCTGATCCAGCCTTCTGGTTCCTTGCTCTGCTTCTTTTTATACCAAAAAAACCAAATCTCACAAAAACAAGAGGCACCTGGATCCCTTCTGCGCGCATCAATGGGGCTCCACGGAAAAAGAAAAAATTAATTTGGTTTTAGAGAAGCCAATTACGACGTCAAGTATCCTTTAATTGTGGTTTGGTGGGGGGATGCGGGGCTGGGGTTGGGATCCTCTCCTATGGTTCCCGTTCCCGGTAAATTGATCCCGCTCCATGTATGTATCCATCCTTATCCTAATCCTAATCCTGATCCTGAACTGATCCAATGATCCGGCTCCAAGGATCGGGACACAGTGAGCCCCTCCTCCAATCCAAACCTTTAAATACCAGCAAAATCAAAGAGAGGGAGTTAACAAGTTAGAATCACAGCTAAATGAAGAGCTTCTATCATTGAAAGCTTCTATAAACTGATCATAGGAGCGGTATTTTTTCTTTCTTTTTTTCCTGTGTAAATGACAAAAAGGATACCAGACTGATATGCTCTCGAAGAAATTTAGAGCACCACCTAAACACATTAAATTGTGCTTATTCATTGGAAAAACAAGCAAATCTAACCTAGAAAAAAAAAAGACACTTCTTCTCGACAAATACACAATTTACATGAGAACAACTGCACATGGCAAGCCTTTATCTTGTCTAATGCAAAATCTACATGAGTGGCCAAATCCCAGCACATTTTAGACAACAGGCAAAAATGTTTTTGTATTTAAAAATGAAACACCCCCCCCCCAAAAAAAACCATGCTGTCTTAATGTATGCACAAGCATCGCAACATCCAGACAGTACACATGCATGCTTAGCAGCAATGACCAGTGAGAAAAGGTAAATTAAACAGGGAAGGGGAGTGTTGTGAAGGGAGGAAGAATGGCAAAGCAAAACTAATGTGTTACTGAACTAAGAAAATCCAGAGTACTGGAAGTCTGTAGAAAAACAACAACTGCCTTTTTGAAGGTGACTAAAGCCGCTTGCCGTCATACCATTGCCTCCTTAAATGAAATGCCTGCTCCTCCTCCTCCAAATATCCTAATATGAATGAACTGTGCTTCAAAATCCTTTATTCCAAAGCTTTCTTTAATCCTGCTCTTCTGTTGTCTATAGAAAGACATGAAAAGGTAAAAGTAGAACAGTTTTTCAACGGAAAAATAATCCAACCCCAGAAAAAGCCCGTAATGAAGCATCATTAACAAAATAAAACAGTATTAATTAATTAATACAACTATTTAAAGCATTTCAACATGTCCCTTGTGTCAAATATAGTACAAGGGATGAGTATGAAGATCCAGTTAAAATGGGAATGCAAGACAAAGACACAACAGGGTCACTATTGCTGCAAAACGGTTCATTTTCATTAATGAAATGCAGAGAAGAGGGGAGAGAATAAAAAAAAAAACAAAAAAAAAAGAGGATTGACGGGAAAGAAAGAAGAGAAAGGAGAACATCTACTTAGCTACACGTAGCTGTCATTAGCAGAATGACAGTCCCAAAAAAAAAAAAATCAAGCAAACCAAAAATGAGAGAAAGCAACCTGGGGAAAGTGGAGAGACGAAACAAGTCAAGAGAACAATGAAGTACAACAGTGGGTCCAATAGAGGGCGACACAGGGTGTATATGATTGTGGCCAGCCAACTAGCTGGGATGTGGATGTTTAGGTGCGGGAACGGGAGCGGCTGTGGCGGGGCGAGTAACGTGGCGATCCTCGGCTGCGGCGTGGAGAGTAGCTGCGACTGCGGCTGTTGCTCCGGCTGCGACTCCTGCTGCGGCTGCGAGAGCGCGAGCGCCCATAACTGGGGCTGCGCGGGCCATCCACCTTTACGCGAATGTAAGCCGTCTCCCCCTGAGGAACATAATGGGACACTTTCTAACGAAGAACTACCAGATCTCAGGTTACTCCTAAATAATGACTCACTTGGCGAATCTAAAACAGATTTTGTTTTTTGCTTTTAAGATTTAGTGCTACACCAAATTAAACATCCTTCCAAATGTGGCCCGCTGATAAAATCACTTACATTCAAAAGAGCCATTCCATGGATCCTCCTAGTCCATGTGGCTCCATCATGGGTCTCTGACATCAAGCTTACCTTGATATTCCCAAATCCTTAAGCTATGCCCTGTCCTGTCCAATGGCGGTCTACGTTTACAAACTCACACCTACCTCATGTGACCGGAACTTAGTGTTATCCAGCTTTCGAACGGCGTAGGTCATGTCTTCTTTGCGCACAAACTCCACAACGCCGGTGCCGTCCCGGAAAACGTCAGCATAACATACATCACCTGCTTCACGCATGTGATCCTTAAGGTCCTGCCAGCTGCCACTAGGAGGAAGTCCTGGACAAAAAGAAAATCACAACCATTAAATAAGTAGATCCTTCTCTTCATGAACAGCACAAGAATCATTACACCAATAAGGGACCATTTTGAGAAAGGAGTAAGACAGGAAATTCCGGTTTTGCGGATACTTCCGCAAAAACGTTCTTGTGGTGCAAAAGCCCCTTATGATATCGCACTATTTAAAGATAGTAAATGCATGCAACTAAATTTATATTTATTTTCCATCATATTTACATTAAAATATTTAGAAATAATTTGAAAATGAATAATTTAATATTTGAACTTAAATTGGAAAAATAAACCTATTTATACTTTAGAAAGCAATTTCCCGATTCTGCAAATAAAAAAAAGTGATAAACAAGTAAACACTGTAATCTGGTTAATCAGTGCGCAAATTTTCTCCAAGACATACTGTAACATACAGTACACAGTGAATATCATATAGCTGCAAAAGGTTCTCAGTGCTGTCAAAATAAAAATCTGACACTTAGCAGCCAAACAGAAAAAGAAGAAAAAAAACACTAAACAATACTAAAGGCTGGACTACACTACACAACTTTTAAGATCAGAACAAATTTTAAAATACCAGGTATCATACACTTGCCTTTTTTTTTTTTATTATTATTCTTCTAGTGAAAAACTGGACTATAAGACTGAGGATCACATAGTTTCTGCCAATCTCATGTTAATCTAGAGTAGGGCTGTGCAAAAAATCTAAATGCGATTTTCATGCGCATCTCGTCAGTAAAGCCGCATCTGGTGATTAGTAGTAAATCTCCAGCACGTGCTTTCAGATGGAGTGGCATTTACTACACAATGCCGCTCCATCTGAAAGCACATGCTGGAGATTTACTACTAATCACCAGAAGCGGCTTTACTGACGAGATTTGCATGAAAATCGCTTTAGATTTTTTGCCCAGCCCTAATCGAGAGTACATATAGAGTAGGGGTCGACCGATTATCAGCGCCGATATTAAGCATTTTTATGATTATCGGTATCGGTCATTTTCAAAACCGATTCGCGATAAAATAACTTAATTTTGAAACGCGCTATTTGGCTCTGATGCAGCCTGTCAGAACACACCACTCACGCCCATCTGATTTGTTGGGAGTCACGAGTCCGACCAATCAATGCGGAATTCACTCTCACTCCGAAAGCGCTTGCTAACTGCAGGTTCTTCAGTGATAACGCACCAGTTGTCTCTCAAAGGTAAGGCAGCAGCAGTAAATCACAATCCACTAACGTTACACTGCAGTTGCAAAACACCTCAATATTATCTATGATTTCCGCGATGCAGAAAATGTGGACGGAATCGCGGAATCCAGTCATAAATGGAATTTACTGTATGATGTGGAATGTCACGTAATTTGTCAAAGTTTGGATGAATTAATCAAAAGTAGGTCAGTACACTTAAATAGAGCCGCGATATGGACTAGTACCTGTAAATATTAAGCCGCAAAAATACTATTTAAATATTAATCCTGCATGTTCTGCGTGTCTCTGTGTATGTAAATGGCACAGACGCGAGGTTTTGATTTCTACACAAAGTGTGCGACGCTCGCGCTGATTTCAGCTTCTGTCGTCTCACAACATGAGGACATAAATACATGAACAACATCTCCAGAACTGCTCTGACTCCCTCTAAGAGTCACTTCATGAGCATTTGACAGTTTCATTGGAGTAAAACTATCTTCATATCATTTACATAGACCTACAGAAACAAGTTCCTCATGGCAACCCGTCAAAAT